GGTGAGTCGCTGTTCATTTGACCAAAAAGACTGTTGTTTTTGAATCTTTAATATGTTCATCATCTACACAAGTAACAATAAAAAACATTAAGTAAAACTTGTGCTATCTTCATTGTTTTATCTTCATTGTGGTTTTGTAAATCGTGAATAGAGTAATTTAAATCCAAGCTGCTGATGTGTTTTAGACAATAAACTATTTTGATCGCTAAACGTCGCCTTTAAACGGTGTTCGTCTTGTTTCATTATCAATAATCTGCAGGCTAACATCTCACCAAAAAGAATCTTCCAAGTAATTATTTTATACGTATCCAGATTCAAGTATGAACATAGTATGTTGTGCTTCTTCAAAATTGCCAACATTTTATCTTAATTGTTTATCAATGCTTCGATGATTTTTTCAGAATATTGGTTCATTGTTTCCCCTTATTTCTGTTCTCAAAACATGTGAATAATCCTTCAAATTTATTTTTATTCCAAAGCCATTGAAATGACGCATTGTTTTCCTGCGGAAGTCACTAGCAAGAAAGACCTCTTCACCTAGTAACTTTGTTTTGAAGATTTATCGCCCTTGGCTGCTGTGAGCCGACTATAGTTTCCATACTTTTGTACCCCAAATGTACAACTAACGCTTATGTGTCGGTGGGTTTGCTGTCCGTGGTTTGTCGTAGAAAGTATGCTCGGTCGAACAACAGAATTTTCAAGACGCAACGGCACTTAAATATATTTTTGTACAACGAAACTTACCTTGGTTTTCAGTAAACGGGTTCCTGGAACTTGCCTCACCCATCAGACCGGCTTTAACGCGTTACTGGAGAGCTCGTACGTCGCAACACTGAAAAAATGATACTAGCCGTTGGTAAATGAAAATCCTATTTCTGACGTTCATTGACTGGATGTCACCCTACTGGAGACAACAGACCAGGTTTTGATGATGGCCCAACAGGTAACGCGTGTAAAAACAAATTTAAATGTAAAAAAACCTTTAAATTCAAGAGTTCATTATCTTTATAACGAACATGTTAATGTTGAAAGATACCACGTGTTAGAGATTAAAAAGAAAGGAAAATATGCAAGATATCTCGTTTAATCTTATCGAAAAAAAGTAATTCTTTAAGCAGATCTGTGTGGAAGTATAAAGATATAGAAAGGAAGGACAGAAAGAAAATTAATAATTCGAGAGCTTGTGCTAGGGAAGGACAGTGGCGGTTTTAGGGACTGCGGGGCCCGGGGCCAAAAACATCTGCGAGGCCCTTGTTCTTTACAATTTATATTTTTTTCTTAGGTGTGGGACCTCTTTTGGCTATCATAAGCGCCGGGCCTGGGGCCATGGCCCCCTGGACCCCCCTTAAAACCGCCACTGGGGAAGGGTGTTTATGGGCCTATAAGGAGAGGACGGTTGGTGATGATATTACCATATTGAGACTGATATAAGATCTTGAAATGATCCAGAGAGCATAAAACATAATAGCCTTTTACCTCATCCACCTTAAAGTGCCGTTGGGCTTCAGTTTGAATGTACAAATGCAATAATACTAAGAGCAAGTCATCTGACTGAGCAAAGGTTGGAAATACAGTGGAATCCCGATGTAATGAGCTCTGAAGGGAACAAGAAAATAGTTCGTTATATCGGGAGTTCGTTAATACGGAACGGAAGAAAATCTCTCTTGAGTTCTTTAACAGTGCATGCATCAAAAACCCTTCCGTGGGGTTGTTTAGGCTATCCCCAACTTCTGTCCTTAAAACAAACAAGCTGGATTCAAATATTATAGCAATCAAAAATGAAAATCTTGTTCATCACACATTAATATTTGCCTTTCTGTGTGTTTGATTTTTTTACTGAAATGTCAAGGCTTGAAAAGATGTTAACTTTCGCACGCATCTCATATCCATTTCAGCATCATGAAAAGTGCATGTTTGCTGATGCATTCTTTACTGATGACATAAACGATTTTCTCTCAGAGAAAGTGATAAATGAAAACCTGAAACAAATCAAAATAAGAGATGAAAAATATATAAAAAATTCGTTATATCAAGGGTAATTATGATGAAGGGACCTAAAATTTTGTTCACAACAACGAGAAATCTTTATATCCGGGGTTCTTCATACCAAGAGAATACTGAAGGAGTTTTTGAGGCAAAATCTAAGGGACGAGACAATCAGTTTGTTATACCGGGAAGTTCGATATATCCTGGGTTCGTTATATGGCTATGTGGAAAACATGGAATGCTGGAATATGTTTTCAGAAACCTTTCATCTATTGGTTGGGCATGTATTTTCCTAAAAGAATGAAGGGAACCTCGATGTCACCAAAGCAAAATCTCGCAATAGATCTGATATATCGACCCTGAATGACATTGTGCGAAAAGCGTAGTAGTTAGCAGATTTTAGCATGCTTTCTTGTAATTGCTAGTTTCTCCACGGCAACATTTGACATAACTGTGACCATCTCTCCATCTTTGTTTAATATTGTACATTAATTAGTCGGAGGGTGGAGGGGGGGGGGCAAAAGTGAGTTTGGCAAGGGGAAGATGGGGGTCCATGCCCTTTAGAACGCACAAAAGCGTCCCTTTTCAAAAGCTGTTTAGGGTCGTCCGCCACCTCTTGCCTCCTCCTCACTACGCTACTGCCTCTCTCTGAGTGCAGGTGCATTTTCCGTTCATACCTCATCGATCAACTGAAACAGCTTTGCTAGCCGCATCACCAAGGAATGCATTGAAGTCTGGCGGTGTTTCGGTTCCACTGTCTTTGACAACCAACAATCTCGTAGAAAATGGTGTAAAAGCAAATTACTCGATGCTGCATTGAGTTCTCTTGAAGCAGTCGTAGATATCTCAGATGATGCTATTTCCCATTTGTTACATTATTGATCTGGTGACAGCAATTAAATCAGCTTTCAGATGGAATATCTAGACACTACACTCTCATCTGAATATCTAGACGCCACACTCTAATCTACTTTGTATTTTACAGTGAGTTGTTTTACAACAAAGTTCTCTCCATCTCTTTGCATCAGCATTTCCGAACCTTTAACTGACACTTCTACAGTTACCTTGGTACAGTCGTTAAGCCGAGTGCTAGCGTTGTCAAAGATTTTGAGAAGTACATATGCTGAAAGTGTGGGGTGGATGACTTGATGCTGTGAATGATGCAAGAGGGTAGCTTTTTTTAAAGAACATTTGCAAGAGACAAAAAACTGAAAATCTATTTCTATGCCTACACGCAGTTTCAGCATTAGGAAACTCATCCAACGCTCCAAACTATGTTGGGAGCCTTCAGAGACCAGATAGAAGAGCCATATTCAGAAATAAAAGAAGAACTATTGATTCAGTCAGATAATTGTCAAGTTTAGATGATGAAGATGATACGGACACTGAGCAATTCAGCGACAGTGCAGATGGTGAAGAATTTTAACGACATGGCAGCTTATGACCTTGAATTTATAATATGTACAATAAATACTAATTTATGTAAGTCTGTTATGGCTTCAGCTTGGAACGTTGTGAGAGGAATCACAGATCAAGCTGACTAACTAATTTCTTCTTACAAACAAAATGACGCTACATTTTACCAATCTCCCTAAATCAATTGCCCCAGTGCTGGTAGCAGTGCTACTCTAGGTCGACTGGAGATGATATTTTTGCTAAGCATGGATTAGAAATACAACTTGATCTATTCATAGGAAATCCATAGGCTTTATTCCAGTTTTTGGGCAAAGCCCAACCCCCCCCGTATCTCGGAAAAGCGTAATCGCCCACCCGATCAAGATATAGTTTTTAATCCTGCACTAAACACTTGTCTGGAAAAAGTTGGTTTGGTAAGATTCCTCCTCAGGTGATCATTGACAACACATTCAGAAGCTGCGTCCCACTGATCTCTATAAAAGACTGGATCGAGCTTCTGCCGTTTCAGACTGAGGTCAATATTGCTTTTCCTACATGAAATTTCCGATAACGTCAGAAGTTCAAATTTCCAAGTTAAGTTATCGGATGTAAATTTAGGTTGAAAAACAGACCAGAATTGTAACTATAGAAAGTTCCCAACGTTCGATGTGATCAAAGATGTTCATTGTCGTGCTGTATGCTGCATCCGATGCGCTGTATGTTCTGCTTTATTGAAAAGTTGGTCAATTGGAGATAGAGGCGCAGCATAGAAATGTCATTTCTATTCTGTGATAGAGGTAGGTAGTTTGTGAAAAGTACTTTTTGGCATTGTGTACCACGTTTAGCTCTCATGTCGGTTCCTTTCGGTGTTTCGCGGTGAACGGTGGGTCCCACGGTTCTAGAGCCTAATCAAATTTAGCGGGCCTCGGTTCTCATGTGGGTCAAACAATAAGAAGCTCGATCCAGTCCTTTATAGAGATCAGTGCTGCGTTCCAGTTTTGGACAAAACCCCTGTATTGCGGAAATCAACCTCTCCCACCCAGTAAACATTCAGGTTGAATTCTGCACCAAAAACTGGTCTAGAAAAAATTGCTCTGGTAAAGTTTCTCGTCGGGTGGCCAATGTTAGCTCATTCACAGGCCGCATCCCAGTTTGTTGACAAAACCCCCAGTAGCTCGGAAAATCGTCCTCTCCCGCCCGATCAACATCCAGATTCGAATTCTAGACCAAAAACTGTTCTAGTTAAAGTTGGTCTGGTAAAATCCCTCCTCGGGTGGCAGTGTTCCCCCCTGTGCCTCTGGACTACAAAGCAAAACGGCGAGGAGGCCAATCCACATAATTCGTTTAACAAACTTAACCCCAAATATAATTACACCACAATGAACTACAAATTCTAATACGCACAAACTGAAATCCGTTTCCTTTGAATATGTTTTGGTGAGTAAAATAATCATAGACATATGAAAATAACGATAAAAAGTGTCATCGTGAAAGCATTTTTCAAATCAACGCTAAGCTAAAAAGATAAACATTTTCATCTGTGGTTGTCTGAACGGTGGCTCAACTTAATTGAACATTTGTGTCCAGTACAGAGCAACAACCAAAAACAGCCACCCATATTCACTCAAAGCAATTCTCCAACTGAATTTACAGTACTTATTTCACCACATTATCTGGTTAATTTGCTATGCATTGTAGCCAACTTATGAAGCAGTTAATGTACACGTTATCAAAATTAAAACGAGCAAGAACTGAGATACCGCCACAAAAGCTATTTGGCAGTATTATGGGGTTTATGAAAATGTCTTTCCTTTTTCCATTATAACAGCGATATCTGAGAGCACGTGTTTTATTATACTGTGATACTTGTGGCAAATTTCGGAAAGTCTGGCCTAACTAAAATAATTAAAGAATACTACAGTGTATACCTAGAAACGAAAATCCCCGTGAAATGACGAACTGACCGAAATGGCTTGAAAACAGCACTAGTGCTTCAAACGAGTAGAGGGGCTGGGGGTGCTTGAATATAAAAACCCAGAATCTGCTGAAAAAAACTGTTTCCCCCTACATATCAAATATGAAACAGAGCGGTATCTTCGTGTCACCTCTGCGTCAATCTTGGTAAGGAGTGCATATTTAAAACGCCACTTTTCTTTCGTGTCAAATAATAGAAAAGCTTTGACACACAACATAGCAACTTTTTCAAATATAACTAGTTCAGCTTTTCTATAAAATACGAATATCAAATATTTATATACTTTCTATACACATGTTTACCTTATCAGATACAAAGATTAAACAAACATACTTCATTGCAAGACATGCTGACTCGATTTTACTTCCGACTTGTCCTTTACATCAATTTCTTTAATTAAGTACCTGTCTGTGACGTCACCCTCTTCATGCTCCTGCTCAGATTCCTCTCCAATCATCATTGACACTGAGCCTGCGGAGGCATCGGAACCTACTGTTGCAATGGCGTCATCTTTGTTTTCTAAACTGGAATCGTTCGTTGAATAGTCACGTGGCGCGATTCTAACTGAAGTGGCATCTGAATCCGCGCTCATTAAAACATGAGTGTCCGATACGGCCGTTATCAAGATTTGTCCGCCTAGCCCCTCCGTCTCGTCATCTTTGGCGTCTAAAAATTACAGTTGCATTTACTTGAAAATATCAATTTGCAATGCCAATAAAGTATAAGAAATATCAGTCCATTTTAATACTTTTAGAGAGTAATTACTGACAGAAAAGAAATACTGACTTAAATAAAAAGTTGAACAAACTTTGAAATAAAATAATTTTGGCCACGGGATAGGTTGCTGTGTTGATTTCCATACTCCTTGCAAAATTCAACAATAAAACAGATCTCACTGAAGTCTTCTATGACCTTCTAAAACTGTGCTCAAATTTTGCTATTACTATTAATGCAAGTGCAAATCTACTGACAAAAAGTTATTTGGTGGATTCGGAGACAATCGCTTACTGCAGCAACAAACAATGACGTCATCTCATGGGGTTAGTGACAAATTCAGCATAATGTGGGCCCTACTTTTCTTGATGACAGGTAAAGGGGATTTTTTGTTTTCATCCTACCCTCCCATCCAAAAAAGATTGTAAATTTTCTTTATGTTCTATACTCTCTTTTGATATTTTAAGTTTTATTATTGCTGGTATCGACAAAACTTATCTTATCGTTATACATATTCCTTCCTTTGGTTTTGACGCTTTTAGGTCAAAGAAAAAGGCTTTGCCCCACACCTTGTACGGGAAGGTCTTCCTCGAGTTAGAAAATTAATTAGTGTCTCACCCGCATGATCTTTATTGATCAAATCTGGATTTTCGATCGGCTCTGTGATAACTTGACCTGTACTCAGCTGCACATCCATTGTCGTTTCGCTGGGCTGGTTTGAGAATATTTCGTGAACTGCGCTGGCGGCAGCAGCAGCCTCCGAGGTCGCAATGGAATCATTCGAATTTGATGTTGCCATGGAATTAGCGAATGATGATATAGGTAATGAAAGTGAAAGAGAGACTGGGATGAGGCGACCATTGTTGTCTGTGAGGTTGATGCCGTGGGCGCCAGCTATGGTTCCATCTGGGTTCATCGTAACCTGAAATGTTTGATTGCCAAACAATTTAGACATGGGTCCTAAATGGATACGAGGATGCAAGCAAGTCTTTATATATAATACAGGAGTTTAACGCAACCGACGAAAAGTGTATAAAACTTTTTCTATCCTGTTTTTTGACAATTCCAGTTTGTTAATGAAAAATAGAATTTTCTTCGTAAGACAGACCAAGAAGAGAAAAATACACCATCTTCTTTAGAATATATGCAAAAATCTTGTTTATAATCATGGACTAACCTGAATGGGAATTGCGATGGCGCCTGACAATGCAGAACCCTCAGCAAGTTGTTGCTGCGCAGCCAGCTCTGCATAATGTGACTGCAATGCTGACATTGTGGTCTCGTCATTTAGTAATACTGGCAGACCTTGCACCATCGCAGTGGCAAGCGAATTACTCGATTCAAATGATATTTTCTGCCTTTTAGAAGCCGGCGGTCTTTCAGCACCGCTTTCACCTTCTTCAAGGCCTTCTGAAAAGTCAATTAGCCAAAAAATCAATTAGAATAATGATAAACAACAAGAATGTAGATTAGCATTTCAGAACCCGAAATAAAAATGACGAAATAACCAATTTAAAACTTTACTTTTATAGTACAGTTGAATCCTGTTAGGTCATACCCTGGGTATTCCCGACTTTCACTTAGTCTGATTGATTTCTAATACCTAATACCAACCTTATTCAAGTCAAATCGTACCCCCAGATAAGTCGGACACACTCGCTAAGTCAGACAATTTCCTTACACCCCTTAAAGGTCAAACTTAACGGAATTTAACTGTAACTTTATAACTTAAGAAGAAAATCCATTACCGTTTTCATTTAGGCCATCTTCTGATGTACCGTGCACTGTCCTTTTATGCATAGCCAATGTTGACGTTTGTCTGTATGTTTTATGGCATATGTTACAGATGTACGGTTTTTGCTGAGTGTGAACAACGTTGTGCTTGTAGAGACTCGAGTATTCTGTAAATGATTTGTTACAGCCTGGCACTTCACAAGCGTATGGACGTTCACCTGTTACAAGAAATTACACAAATTAGCAGATCAGGAAAAATTACACAAAATTACACAAAGTCAGGAAAAGTTGGTTGCTTGATGAATGAAGAACGGAATGAGGTTGTAAATTATCTAGATTGCAGACACAGAGTGTGTTGCAGATTATTGAAAATGAAATTGCATGATGTGAAACAATATGTAGGTCGTCTTCCAAGAGGGTTTATTCTGAGAAAAAGAGTGAATTTCCAACATTTTTTTGATAAATAATCTTGATGGTTGCCATAACCCCGCAGATAGGTTGGATATTATGTGAGGCATTTAATATAGATAATTAAATCGCCTTTTCTACCAATAGAAAAACAAAATCTACTAAAATATGTTGAGTACTCTCGTGAAAAATCAGGCTTAAATCAACAGCAGTGGTGCCGTGAAGGTGATTTGGGGGAGGGGGCACGAATTCTGTGTACGCAACCCTTTATTAAATTTATTATCAGTCTTTCGTGTCATCGAATAGTTTGAATGATTCTATACAATTGCAATTATATTGGGTGTGGTGAAGGGTGTGGCCTCTTGAATTTGCCTACAACACAGCCCCGCTCCTAATTTTTTAGGACGGCACCGCTGATCAACGGTATTCCAAGCTTCCAAAAAACTTACGCAAAATCAAATTTGCTATGAAAGAGCAGTTTCTAGCGAAAATCAGAAAATCTATCGGCAATCTACACGAATTCGACCAAAATCACAAAGGACGAACATTGATAAATCCCTTATATGTATTCCCTACACAATAACAACTATTGTATAATATATTGTATAACTATTGTATAACTACTGTATAATATATATATATATTTATACAGTATGCGAAAAAACGTAACGCAGTAATTTGGAAATATTTTCTATACAAAACTACTTATTTCAAAAACCATCGATGATGTTAAAGTATCAACATTTTGAGAAGGGATAAAAACCTGTGTGTATTCTTGAGTGGTTTTTGTAATTGGTTGCGCTGGCGAAAGATCGGTTACAGCCTTCGATTTCGCAGACGTAAGGTCGTTCGCCAGTGTGTGTACGCAGATGGACTTTTCGAATATTTGACGTCGTAAATGATCGCTCGCAACCTTCGTACGGGCATTTGAAGGGTCGTTCGCCTGTCAAGTAAAAAATTATCGTTTATTGCTAAGAAAAAGTTCAAGGAAAAAAGACAAAATCATAGCTCATTGCCCTAGACAGAATCAAATGAAACATCAATGACACAAGAATTTTAATGGAAACTTGTGTTGTAATATACATTTAGTCTAAATATCGTTGTTTTGTTATCATATTATCATATTCAGTTTAGTGTAGATATTGCCGTAGAGACGGATGTTAACTTTCAACTTCGCTTACGTGTATCTTGTTGTTTAATTGGATTAATCGATGGTTTAGCTCGGTTGGAGTTGGGAGTGGCGTGTTGATGGTTTTGGAAAGAGAGGAATTGGGATCGAGGAGTTGGAGTTGTCAAGGACGTTTTCAAGTCGTTTTAAAGTTGTCAAGATCGTTCGTTGTCAAGAGTTGTATTAATTGTAATTATAACATGTAAATAGTATATATATATTATATATATATTTATATATATATATATAATATATATATATATATATATATATATTATATATATTTATAAATATATATATTATTCTGAAGAAGCATATTGCGAAACGTTAATCAAGTTGTTTTTTTACTGATCATCTATTGAAATTTTTTAAAAAACATTACAGTCTAGAGCTTTTGAATACATATATATATATATAGATCTTCAAGAAAAACACTCTTATGCAATATATATATATATATAATCATAAGGCAAATGCTGACAGGAGGAAAATTCTTTCCACAAGGGTGCTGCCCAATTGTATTGAACTACTCTTGGTCGGAATCGAACTCCAGTTTGCTGCGTCGAAAACCCCCGCTCATTCCACTGAGCCAAACGGCCCTATATATATATATATCGTGTTTATTTCATTGTGAATTTTGCTACCATACACCGACCAGCCTTAAAAAGCACAACACTTGCATAATTTCATAACACTCATATCATTTCAAAATTTTCTGCAAAAATTCATAAAAATTCTTTACCTGTGTGCGTTCTCACGTGCTTTTGCAAATCTCCGGACGTTTTGAATGCTTTATCGCACGCATCTTCCGGACACTTGTACGGTCTTTCTCCGGTGTGTGTCCGGAAATGGCTTTTCAATCCGTAACCGGTACTGAATGACTTTCCGCACGTTTCCCATTTGCAAATAAATGGTTTGTCACCCGTGTGAGACCTTTTATGAACCTTGAAAAATGTTTGAATGAAAATAAACTTTGATTTTTCTGTATGAAGCATCGTTGTTATATAAATGAGTAAAATATCTTTATCATGTTATCTGCAGGAGCTATATGAGAATTTTTGTTAATAGGAATAAAGTCAAGGCCAGCCCTTCCGTCATACAGTCAGGGAGAAACATAAAACGTCATTAATTCCTTTTTGCTTCCCTTTTTATAGTTGGTGATGTCAGAGAAAGGTCCAGGGGCCTACAGCAAAACCTTAACAAGGGAAGATAGGGAGGGGGGGGGGTTAAGGAAAGAGTGAGGTAAGGTCAAATTTGGTGACTTAAGTTTTGAATAAAGCCAGCTTATAACAGACTGGAAAGCGTCATAGTGTCAAACTGATTTGTCGCTTTTTGAATCTATTTAAGCCTACCTTAAGGTGATGGGCAGTTGAGTAGACTTTCCCGCATCCTTCGAAATCACAATAAAAAGGTTTGTTTCCCGTGTGTGTTCTTGAATGTTTGTTTAAATCACTATTTGTTATAAATGTCTTGTGACAACCGTCCTCCTCACAAGTGAATGTCTGCCCCGTGTGAGACCTGCCATGTGCCTTGAGGCGATATGGGGTCGAGAATTGTTTGCCACACCCTTCCATGGTGCATTGGTACACTTTCTTTGATACCTCCTGAAATCAAAAGTAGACGTATTGAAAGAGGCATCTGCAATTCAAACTAAAATTACGATCAATCCTTGACTTAGGAATCATAGAAAATACCAAACAAAAACAAAAATTAAGGTTATAAATCAGCAGAAAAGATGGAAGGTTTCTTAAACAAAAAGATTATGACGATCAGTTGCTAGTTCATTATGAGTGTAAGGGTTTAGCTGTATACTACAATTATCCTTGCAATTACAATAGGCACCAGAGAGGAGCCTTGTTGTGCAAAACGTAAATCAAACTCATATATTAAATGTTAAAATCTACATCGATGAAGAGCAGATAAGAATAAGCAGATCTTATATGTTCACTACCCAAAGACAATGAAACTCGCCCGAAGCTCTTTAAAAACTCAATGTGGATCTAAAGATTTCAATAGAATTGTTTATAGAAATGTTTGAGAAACTATTAGCCCTAATCATCTTGCTTTATCGAAAGCCGGAAGCATTAGCTAGACAATGATTCACCTTTGATTTGGAAAATAAAACGCCATATCATCGTCAAAAACCATAGAGCAAATTTTGACAGTTGAGTCTAATTTCATATTTCACCAAAGTAACGAAAATATACCTTTTAAGTTTTATATATACGTTTTTAGTTTCCGAATGGTAATACGAAATAAGTATACGCATTATAATCAGTATATAAATCAGCTAATCACTTGCCTGATCACTGGTATCAATCTGATTCTGCCCATCCACCATGGCAACATGATCATCAAGAACATAATACGATGTTGTTGTTGCTCCATCGTCTCCTTCGCTACAAGGAGCAATGCGGACATGATCTGTGCTGAAGGAATCCAAAGCTGGAAAAAAAGAAAGTCTGGACTTTTGAATGCAAAGATCAAATTAAAATCAAAGGATCAGTCCAAGAAGCTATTTATTCAATCATGTGACCACTCCATCGAAGGTGTCTTTGAACTTCACGGGCTTTAATTAGGCCACGCGATTTCACTTTTGTTTCCATACACATACAAAGTCTAGTTTGTCATCAGATATTTTTGCACAATTTCTCCTTTAACTGCGCACTGTTAATTATGATAGAATGGCCAATGAGAGTTAAATATGACCAAAAAACAAAGAAAGTCAGCCATGCCCAACCCCGCCCTTACATTTGTTTTCCAAGAAATGATTCCAGATTCAAGAGATTTTTCTCAGGAAGGAACACTGTAGTCTGACCGCCACCTCCCCTGATAGGTTTTTCCATCAACCTTAAATAATGCTTAGCCTGATTAAAAAAAGACAGTACATATGAGGCGTTTTTATACGCTCCTTTACTTAAAAAATAATAACTGAATTTTTACACAATCGACTGTCAATTTTACGTTAAAAATTTAACTGCTATTAACATATGGCAAAATTATACAACAATACCATCAAAGCATAAAACAAAACTCCAGACGCACCTGCAATTGAAACTGGTACATTCTCGCCACTAGCAATAGTCATCAACTGGCCTTCAGTTACTCTGGCTACCTGTTGTCCGGTCATTGTCACTACGCCGCTATCTTGGTATTCTGCGCCACCGGAAATGATGATGTGCCCACCCTGGCCATCGTCTGTCACAAATGTCGTCACTACAAAAAAGGTGGTTTCTCAAAGACAGGCATATCAGTCACACAAGCAACGGCACTGAAAGCTTTTTGGGCTGCAAAAAATATTTGAGCTTGGAAAGATGGTTCCAAGAAATTTTTCAGAGGCGGAAGTATAAATTCTAAAGCAACAATAGTAGATAAAAAATCAAAGCGTGAGCCCATCACAGCAAGGAATTTCAAACTAAATCCAAACTCAAAACAAACAAAAATTCCTAATAAGAACTTTTGCATCCAATTTTTGGCGAAAAGCTTGATGCAATAATTTCACCTGACAGAAAATTTCGTGCTCATTTGATATGTTCAATCAAAAAGAACATTAAAATGAATCCTGACAAAATAACCGTGTCTACTTTGATTGCTGGCGCAAAAATTGACGCAACAAAAACAGCCCTAACTGACAAATAAAGCAGCCCAGACGGGAAAGATTCATTTAACATTACTCAACTGGAAGATGTTTGTAAAGTTAATACTTGACAGATCTATAACGACGATATTGCACATAGAACTGTTTCTTAATAGTTTAAATAAAAAATTCAAGGAACTATGATGAAACTTGAACAAAAAATTATTTTGGGAATGTTATGATCAAGGCCATCGATTATAGAGTAGGGTTTTCAAAGTTAAAGCGAATGACAAGAGCTAAAAGAGGAGATCCCCAAGCGTTTACTGTTTGCCAAAATAGATGAGATAATTATCCAATCAAAACGAGATAATCAACCAATCAAAACGAGATAATCAACCAATCAAAATGAGATAATCAACCAATCAAAATCTTTCATTGATTATCACCACAGCTCGTGCAGTTATGCCTGAATTGCAGTAAACTTTGGTTATTTGTGGAACCGGACTTTCAATTCAGGCCATTCAATTTCAGAATAAGCATTATTTGCATCCTTACCAATATCCGATGCATTGAGGGAAGACAGATACGCATTTCCAGTTTCGACTTGCTCTGTTGTTTGAGTAAGCTCAGCTGCCTGTACGCATTCTGCAACTTCTAAAAAATGCATGAAAATATACAATCTTTTATATTCATTCCTTATCAATTAATCTTAAATACACTTTAACATTAATAATAACTTCAAAAAGGGTATAAAACATCAGAACATAGATCGAAAACTCCACGCTAGGAAATAATGAGCCAGTTGGTGGATTGAAATATGCCAATCAGCTGTTGAGGTTGTCCAATCAGTGCTGCTTGCCTATTTAAAATGTTACCAATGGAGCACAAAATAGCGGCTTTTTCATGTTTACAGATAGTTTTCCAGAACTGCTAGATGGAACGACGATTGGGCTTTACTAGTGATCCAAAACATTTTCCAGTCTCGGTTTTCCAGTAAACACTGTCCGATATTGGAATCGTTTTAGTTGTCATTTTTTTATTTAAAAAACAATTTCTAAATTCTGTATCGCCAAATATTGTTTGCAAATTTAATAGAAGAATAGGAAAATAGCAAAACAAAAACCAATTTCTTTACATGATTGTGTTTACGGTTGACTCATTAAGGACAAGGACTCTAAAAAAGGTTATCTTATCGAGAGATAGCAGCCCCCCCCCTACAAACAGATATCATCTTGGTATATTGTTGTAAAATTACTCTTGCCTTAGCAAATATGGAAGACAGACATCGGTCTATTTCACGCCTTTTTCAAAACTAAAGGAACAATATCATATGTTTGATTATATACAATATGGGAAACCTCTGATCTTCAAGAAACTTTCATTTTTCTTTGCAGAAAAAGCTTTGGAACTTGCATACAAGATTGTGGTAAGCTTTTGGTTAAGCTTGAGATAACGCTTTTGGTTAAGCTTGAGAGAATAAATTGATGGCTTGTCTTAAAGGCTAACTTTATTTGGGTCCTTGAACATAAGTGAACCACAAGAGAATATTTAGAAATTTAATCTTGCGTTGAGTCGTTGAAAATAACGTTTCCAGGAGTTGAAGTTAAATTTTTAATTTCCCAAAAACAACCCCAAAGAGAAAGCGATTGGAAGATAAGGGTATCGTCTACAATAAGGCAAGTGAGCTATGAGGAATGCTACCATATGTATGGAAATGCGGTGACACCATGACGTCACAAAGAATGGTTCTTGTTTACCATTCTTGCAAATGTGACAAGCAGGAAAAGATAGGCAATCTAGAAGAAACAACCCTCGATTTATTGCTTTGAGTTGAATCATCTCGATCTTTTAGAGGGGATTCCACATAAATGAAGGAGATGCACCATCTCAAATTAATTAATTAATACTGTCACCAATTACGAGCAATGATAAAATAAAGATAATCAGAAAAATTCAGATTAAAATGATCAAAATTTTTTTTTCGTATCATTTTAAAGTTTACTTATTTCTGGAATAGGTGCTGAGCATATAAAGCAAATTTGAGATGGTGAATCACAAAATCAAGCTTCTCATCACAAATCATTTTCTCCTTGCTTAGTCATCTCATAGACTGAAAGACCACCCAATTCATTACATTGATGTCAAAATTTTCTTGAGACAAATATGCCTTAGCTACATCACTATCAAAGCTGAATGAACTTTACCTTGTGTTGTGTTAATATTTTCATCATTTCCTGGTTGCCCTACCATGGTTGGCAGCACAATCTCCTAAAATAGGAAAGGAATCAAGCCCATTACAGGTGCCCTGAAAATTAATACAAGAATAAAGCCTAAAGACATTGCCTAAAGGTTGAAACGAATACATAATCCACACTGGTAAATGTAATAACGATTACTAAACAAACATATAACAATGTAAGAAAACAAAGAGCAAATAAACAATCTTTCTGTGGTAGAAATCTAGAAATAGCTTTGAAATAGGAAACATCTTGAAACATACTTAAGCTTTTGGTCTAAAACTCTTCAGAGTAACCTTTTTGGTCCATCAGAACATAGATCAAAACTCTAAACTAGGAAATATATATATCCAATTGTGAATCAAAATTGGCCCATCAGAAATTCAAGCACATGGCTGTTGAGGTTGCCAGATCATTTTCACTTGCCTAATTAAGATTTTATCAAGCCCTAAGGTGAATACCAACTTCTTCTATTTACATGATAGCAGTTTTTTCATGTCTATGTAGATAGATTACAAAGAATCTAAATGTTTTTTGCTGTGGAAATGAAGAAAATAATTTTATTGAAAATATTTAGCCTGCTACTGACTGTAAGAATCTGTCATCTTTAAATGCTTGTTGATAAAGGAATGTTATTTGTGTCAAATTTTGAGACCCAAAATTAATGGATTATGGTTGTGCATTTACTTCTTTACACTAGGCCAGATAAAAGATTCACAAGCAAGACTTGATAGTTGAGGCCTATAGAGCAAAATATAAGTTTTTATTAAATTTAGTTTATTTAAAAATTCTATTTGACTACATAAGATTCTCACCATTATGTTGCTTTGTTCCTAATTATTGTTTGTATTATAACTCATTGCAAAATTCATAGAATCCACAGACAGCATATTCTTTGTTTCTTCCTTCTTACACATTATATGCTAATAACAATTGTCAATCTCCAAGTAATATTACTGCCTTTTTGCCTGTTTTTGAGGATAGCCTTAAATTTATGAAAATTCAAAGAGAAAACTGCAATGTTAGTAAATGTAAGGAAAAAAAATATCACTGAACCTTTGCATCTGTTTCATCACTGTTTTCAGACACAACACTTGATGTTCTGAGAGTAGGACTGTGATGGGTATTGAATGCTGTTACATCTAAAGAACCAGAGTTTGCTATGATTCCATGTTGTGCTAACAGCATATTGATGACTTCTTGCTCGCTTGACTTTACAACTTGGCTTCCTTGTGGTATTGCATCAAGGCCCAGAGGAGCGGTATTTTCACCTTCTAAAAAGTAAAGCATAAAAATTACTTGTAAGGAACCCACTTTGGATAAATGCAAATTCTAATTTTTTATTAATCTTATTTACAACCAGCAAAACTAACAGCCCTAGTTCAATGCCTGAGAACTTGTCACCATTGACCCTAACACTTACAATGTTCCTTAAATCTCCAAAGTGTTATTAATCAAAATGTAGGAAACTGTTTGGTCTTTCTATCCATAGCAAGTTGGAAAGTGGGGAAGGGCAAATTTAAGACTCTTAACAACTTGCAAAAGACTCCTTGGTTTTGCAAAAAAGTAAGCGGCCATGGAGCTGGACCCCCATCGTCAAAGGATGGGTTGCATCTATGGCTTCTGCACATCTCTTAATAACATCAAATGAAGCAACAGGTACATGCCTCCATGTCCCTTCCCCCTATCTAAAGCCCAGATTTGAACAGCAACATCTGTCTTAACTTCATTTTAAAAAAAATGCATTTAAGTTAAAAGCAGCTGCTTCACTGCTTTTAGAAGTTTCTGTAAAAACTACTTATTCAAAAACTTCAAAAGAGTTCAAGTTTTAACTTAGTTTAATAGTGTTTTTTAATGTTGATTACCCAGGCTATCACAAAATGTACGCTTTTGCTGGGAAAGGCATGCAATAACACATGCATACCGTGACACATGCCTACTGCTTTCCAAGAGTGCAAAATATCACATTTCTTCTTTTATTTCAAGATTCTTAATGATTAGTATTACCTCCAGGCACATGGCTTGTATCAACTTCCTGTTTCATTTTGACTTTTCCACTAGCTGGTTGGGTATTGGTTTCATCATCCATTCAAAACTTTCTAATGGGTTACCACCAAAAACATCCAAACAACCTTTCACAAATAGCTAAAACTGGCAGGAAACATCGTGCAAGATGAGTAGTGCAGTCTTGAACAAGCTGCTATTGAAACTGTTTATTTCTGATGCTCATAATGTTCCATTCCTAAAAAATGAAGACAATGCTTTAACTAAAAAGGCTATACCAATGTTTTTGGAAGTTCAAAAAAATGTTTACTGAAATTTCTGTAGTTCAAAAAACAGCAGTACTATCATACTATGAGGTGTAGGAATGGCCCAATGGTTTTAATTGCATACTATAGATCCCTGTTATCTGGGGTTCAAGTCCTTACTTAATTCTACCTCAAATGGAAACCGAATCGGTACATGGGTTAATTTTAAGTTAGCTAGCGTTATCAAATGCTATTTCACACTAACTCAAGTTATCTTGAATTCAGACCATGAGTTAATTTACAATTAACTCAGAATTATCTCACGTTAACTCAAAGTGGAAACCAAGCTTAAATCTAGGCATAATCCAGGTGCTTTGTTGCCTAGTCATAAGGAAAAATCTTTTTGTCCCTGCACACAGCAAGCAAAGCCCCTGCATCTTTTTGTCCCTGCACACATATTAGAAATCATACTTTTGGCCAGGAAAAACAAATTGCAAATGAAGAGGCCCCTGAAAACAAGAGAAACTTACTCAAGCAAAGTGCCACTTATGACACTTATAATCAAGCAAACTTTCCTTAAATGTGTGCCTACAGTTATAATGAGTGTTCTATGCAGATACAATGAAAAGTTACCTGCATAGAAAGAAACCAACACAGGTTTATTTCCAGCCAAGAAGAATTAAAGTTTTTCCAATATAGCTTCAAGTCCAAATTCTAAGATTATTGAAAATATTTTGCTTTGCAGGAAAACCAAAATGGCTCTAACAAACCAGAGAATTGTTTATTGAAAAGGTTATCAGGTCTTACACAGAATTCCACATTAATACATTGCTCAATTATATACAACCCTTTCAAGAAATCGGTGCCTGTTTGTGTATTCAAATTTGAAATTTCCAATTTTGTAATTCGATTATTTTAGATTCAAATTTGTAATCTAATAATTGAAGTTTTTATTGGTGGTTGTTTTACTTCTGATCCATTTCTATTCCCCACTTAAAAACACAAATAATTTGCATAACAATAGCTCTCAATAATTCAATTCACCATCTTCGAGGTGGTGCAATACTTATGATATGGTGGTGTATTATTGAATGCAAAAAATAAGAATTTGTAAATGGAAAAAATTACATGGAAATTAAGTGAACTAAAATTTTTTTAGCATTTATTGAGTATGAGCGAAGATGAATGAATCTCGAATAGCAACAGAATATTGCAGGCTTAGCGCTAGACTGAAAACTTTGTTGCAGGCCCACAATATATTGCTTGTGCACACATCTGTGCACAACAATAACATTCAGCATTATTAACTATCAAAATAACTAAGGATGCATAACTTCAGACACGCAGTCTCAAATTTTCAAAGTAAACTTGTTCGCGCAAGAAACAAAGTTTCTAGTGGGGGGCTTGTGCATCATCCTTGATTATATATAAAAACATTACAAGGAAGCTAAAATTGAGAGCCTAACTCAGTTATTTGAAGTTAAAACTCAAGCAAATATCCCCCTCAAATACAGAACATAAATGTCAAGGGAGTGTCTTTTGTTTTATGTTTTATGTAATTATGTTTATTAATTGTATTCCTATAAATTTATATAATGGATTATTATGTTTATCTTCTTCCAGCATTTTAAAGTAAATGGCATTAAACATACTTACTAGATTCCAAATTCTTGGTAAAAATATAGAAAATATTTTTGGTAAAAATAAAGAAAATATTTTTGGTAAAAATATAGAAAAAAGTTTTGGTAAAAATATAGAAAATATTTTTGGTAAAAATATAGAAAATATTTTTGGTAAAAATATAGAAAATTTTTTGGTAAAAATATAGAAAATAGTTTTGGTAAAAATATAGAAAATATTTTTGGTCAAAAAACTAGGAGTCTATATGTATATAAACAATAATACTTAATTATTACAAGATTAGCCTGTGGTTGGTAAAAATTCCGAAACTCGCCTGTGGTAACTAAAATCTACATCTAGTAAAATTTGTCATATTCCAAAATTTTGCGAGAAACTTTCTCTGCACCCAAACACTGATGGCATTGTCGTGACACTCGTTTTAGAAAGTTGACCAATTTGACTGCAAGCTCACGGCCTGTTTTGAAAATTAAACGTGGTCTTAGAATAATGTGAGGCTCATCAGCAAAGAGATCTCTAGAAACCTTAGTGTTCAGTCAGAATCCCTTACCAGACACGGGGTCTGTTCTAGAGGTTGGGAGACCATGTGGGTTGGCCTAAGGTGCTGTTTTAACTAGTTTCTTTTTCAAAACTTTAAGTCAGGCAGACATGGCGCCATGTTGGTTTCTACTCATGTTTCCTCCATTCTCAATTTCAGCTGCTTCTGCTTGTGTTTCATCAAAATTTTGAATTCCATGTTGTAACGAAATAATCGATGTGTTTTTAGGCATATCACGATTTGAATTTGGTACAAAAATTTACTTACGCAAAGGACGACGGTTTTCTATCAGCTTCCAACGATGTACGACGGGAAGGCCTGACTGTTGAACGCTGGGAAATGGCGGGTCGGGGCGACAAATATGGACAGGTGGCGGGTGCCGCCACAAACAATTGAACCACGTGTTTCTGCTACTAATTGTGGATGGGATTTCTATTCGTTTCTTTGACGGAAAGAGATGGAATAATTTTAGTTCCTGAACCAGCATTCAGTAAATTTAATTTTGACACTGATTCCTTATGTTTTTTTATATAAAATAACAAACGAAGACGGCTTTAAAACTATAAATGCAACATATTGCAGGCACCGCGCAACATTGAATCGTATAATCCTAAGAAGTAGCAGTTTTTCTTGACTGGGAACCCCTCTTGTTCATTTTCTAGGTTTTTTTCTTGCTGTTTTATTATCCCCAAGCTAATCTTGTCTATCTTAATAGCTATTTTATAGCTATTGATATCTTCTCTGAACCAGATTGTTTATAAAACCCCAGTATAAATAAGCCAGTATTTTGATAAAGGGGCGTTTTCCGGCGTTCTAGTGGGCGTGGCCTCAAAAAATTTCTGTCACGCCCTTTTCAGCCCTCCCACATTAAAACTGGTGCGCGGTCCCTGACATATTGCTTACTTCAGAACATTGTGTTCAATGTTTTTTTAAAAAGGAATGGAAAAGATCGTCAAATTCCAAAAATACCCTGCAATGAGTACAAACTAGCAAAGACTTAAAACAAAGTCTTAATTTTCTTATCTAGGTAAAGAGCAATAGATAAAACTACATGCTGCTGCAAAATTTATCTGTAACATCATTTCAGTAAATTCCTACCCTTTTGTGGTTTCTCCGACCTATTCTCCGATAGGTTTCTCCGATAGGAAAGCAATCCTATTTCAAGATTATTCTTTATCCCAGAATTCTTGCTTTCAGACAATCCATCCATCCTGCTTTCAGGCCAGGATGTCAAGTCATTGCTCTTATATATTGCTGACAATAAGTTTTTGTCTTAAAAAAAAGAAATAAAATTTGCCAGCTTAAAGCATCAGGTACAATCTCAAAAATACAGAACACATAAGAAAAACTACTCAAAGGTAATGTCATCGCCCCGGCAATTACAGTCGCTCTGTTTATCTACCCTGCTGCAAAGTTAGCTTTTCATGTGAGCAGTTTTGAATCGCAAGAATACTGACCAATCGCAAGCCGTTTTTTCGATAGATGGCTTGACAAGTTGGGTATACGCAGTCCTTTTATATGGACACGTTACCTTTAAGAAACCACTAAAAAACCTAAAAGTCAAGAATTACTAATATAGTTTAATGAAAAACTGTTCGTGAATCTCCAGTACCTAGATACCCTAAAACATTAAACGCAAAAAAAACTGAAGGATTGCTTTGTTCTTTTCTTAGACATAATTTCATATTATTTTTGTTTCTTTTCACTCAAAGTTCCTTTGTCAATCGTTCTTGAAAGATTTGGCACAGTTTTGTCATGGCATTGTTAGTTATCTTGCATTTTTGCCCCCCCCCCCCTGATCCGCTATGCCTGTACTCATATTCGCTTATCTTCGTTTTCAACCTTTCGTAAAATTCGCATGTTTCTTTTTCCACCTTTTTTAGAATAGTTTCAATTGGTTTTTTGTTTCAGCAAAAAGGGCTAGCCTGTGCTCTTGATCCTTAACTTTATAGGGTCTGGAACACAGGCCAAAAAGAACCTGCATCGGAAACTACGGTAGTAATATCCTACTATTATGAACCCAGTTTATTACGAGCTTCACGCTATTACGAATTCAAAATCTTATTCTCGGTACTAAAACTACATCAATTAATCCTTGCCTGATGATTGAATTAAGCATGAACACTGTGTAGCAACTAAAAACAGTCTTTTTCTTTACACCAAAAGCGCGTGCAAAAATGGTCAAAAATGACATGGACCTCAACCACAACAGCACAATTCGCCGCATTTGCTTATAATAAGGAGGAAAATATACAATTGATAAGATAAACTTGCAATAATTGAATCTTTACGTTTGCATGTGTAACATTGCAAAATCTTTCTTTTCAAGTATCATCAATGATTTAGATCGATGAGTTTATATCATCTACTCACTACAAGCCTAACGCGTAATTCATGGATGGTCGCGATAGTTTTTAAAAATAGGCAAAACTCGCACAAAGTAGGCAAAAAGATGATTTCACAAACTGCTTTCTTTTTCTTGTCTAGATGATTTGAAAAAAACTTTGCGTCTTTATAAACCGTTGCTACTTATTTGTAGAAAGACATTGACAATTTTTATGTCGATACGGATAGAAGCAAATACAAAGCGTTTATCTTCATAAGCCTAAAAAGGCTTGTGATACCATCGATATTCAAATATCATTCGCAAACTAAATAAATATGGCACAGATTGGCACGAGCATTCATTGTTCATGTGCTATCTACCAAATGATGTCAATATTGCAATGACGTATCTTCAATTTCCAAGAGTGTACCACAAGGTTCCTGTCTTGGTCCAATCCTATTCTTTGTTGACGATCGCTCTATCTGACAATGTATGCTGATGAGACAAACACGAAATGACGATTTTATACGAAAAATATCAGTTAACAGTGCTATTTGAATTCGATCATATAATGTCATATATACACAAGCAATGGCTGTAGGTTCTCGATCAAGGTTAAAAAAGTTGCTGACAATGAAATAGTGTCCTTGTTATTTGGTATTGATGGCGCTGAAATTGATATCCTTATAAATAGGAAATAGAAAGCAGTCAAAATTGATGACATACAATGAATAGAGTTCTAGTATTATGAAAAGTACTGAAATATTAGTCCCAAAGTTACTTGCTCGGGGGGGGGATACCTTAGCATGTTTGAAGGTACGGGGACGTGCCATTATTTTGGGGTACCTTTTTTCTGAAAAATGCGGAATTATCGGTGCTAATTTTTTAAAATTGTGACTTTTAAACTCCCAGGATATCAAAATCTGCTGCCATTAAACAAAAGGAAACAAGGGCGCTACTGTGTCATTGTGGACCTTAGTTCACACTCTTTTTATGTACCCCTTTCAGCATGGTGAAACATTTTTCACCGGAGACACCTCTGTATGGCAAATTGAGCAACAAACTAAGTGCATTCATTGCATCGGGGGAAGCTCCAACCAGAACAAACGAAAGTTTCAAAAGCCCTGGGGTAAAAAAAAATGAGAGGCCCCCTAGCTCCATTCAAACAGAAGACTGAAATCAAGAGCATTTTAAAGGCTTTAAAAAATTTTGCACGGGGCCCCCTTAATCGAAGAATTTTAGAGGGCCCAGGCCGAGTGGGCCCATGGGTAAATGCGTCACTGACCCAGATCGCAAACTTTACAAAACTGCAAAGCTACTATCACAATAACAACAAAACTTGCAAAAAGTTCTTGATTTCATAAATGATATCACGACAGTTCTTGAGACACAATTAGGTCTTGCACTCATTCACTTTTCAAACATAGCTAGGAGAAATTCTGAAAGTAGTTTGATGCAAGGCAGATAATTTGTTGTTTGTTATAAAGCCTTTTTCAGGGTGCAAAAATTTGGAATAAATTGCCTTTGGATGTCAGGCTAAATCACTCCCTTTGATGACTTAACAAACGTAGATAAATTATGAGAAACAAAGAGAGATTTTCATAAATACATCAGGTTTTGTTATCTACGATAATATCTCTAGCTATAGGCAATTGCAGAAATTATGGACGTATATTTTTTAAGGATATCTAAAATGAAGTACAGGGCAAATTCACAGGTGACAAGGGTGCCAGAGACGAAAGCAGTTGCAGCCAAACCCTGTTAAATTTGTTCTTAAAGTTCCTTACCAAACTAAAAATAAAAAGTAAAAAATTTCCAGTATTTCAGAGAGGTCATTTACAAAGAATTGTGCAGAGGCAATTTTTCCTTTAGAGAAGTACTCTTGTGAGTGGTATCCATTCTCCTTCGAGTTGATCTTCCAAATGAAAAGGTACATATTCAATCATGTTTACAAAAACAAAGGTAAATAAACATAACATGAAAATAAAAATGGGTAAAGAGCATGACAGAGAAAAACAAAATTTAGAAACCTAGCACACATTTTTTTGAAAAATTTCACAAAGAATACATGAACAAATATCTTTCTTAAAATTCTATTTGACAAACAACATCAAAGCTGAAAACAAAGCACTGAACACAAAACAAAGAATACTTGTTTTACTTGTAGCTGTGGGAATAGAAAACAAACATCCTTTTGTTGGTTGAATGGTCAATGGAAACTGACTTTTTAAAGAAACACTTGACTACCCATTAATGCAAAATCAGCAGTGATAGCATATCCATATATCCAAAACATCAATCTAAACAATAAAACTATGATCTCTCACAAGGTGAATGTATCTATGACAATATTGAAAGTGGAACTTATTGTAACAATATTACATGCATACAAAACTGAAAGTGCTGGGCTTGCTAGTTTATTTGGAGGTTGTGAAATTGTTCCATTGATAACCAGCTAACTGACATATTTGTAATAAGTGTTTACCGAGAGTTTGCAACATTTGGAACAAAAACATTAACAGCTTTTGAATCTTAAAATTCATCATGCTTTTTCAGGGCCTCTCCAAAGTCTGTAGCTTGACTGCCAACAAATAGGTCATACTTTTCGATAATTTCTTTCACTGATAATTTTGAGTCCTAAAATGAGAAACAATTAAAAGACTTTCCAGCAAATTATACAGATAACACAGATAATGCAAATAATAATAACGAATTTATATTATGAAAATGAGAAGATAGTTATGAAAGGTTTTGCTTATATTAAAGGTAATGCGTCCAGCTAAAGCAAGCAACTCTGTGGTGGTTTTCAGAAAGATGTGATTTTTCATGTCATTGTCATGACTACAGCCATTACAGTTGCTCTGTTTATCTACACTGCTGCAATACTAGCTTTTCATGTGAGCAGTTTTGCATACTGACCAATCGCAAGCCAGCTGGTTACTTGACAAGCTGGTTATACACAGCCTTTTTATATGGACACAATACCTTTGAGCAAGGTAATGGAATGATATTTCTATTAAATTTTTTTTGAGGGGTCTATTATAGGTTTGCAGCTTCACTGCCATGCCCCTTTTTCTATATGTGGCTTATTGATTTGGCAATGGTTTTCTTATGATTGTGGCTTCACATTAGATGCATTTTGCACCTTTTAGTGTATATTGGTTTTATGCGCTTGCCGATAGCTGCTTTTGGCCCATTTTGCATGGTTTTGTGTCTTTTTTAATCCCTATAATATATACCCCCTACTAGGGAATCATACAAATGATTTAATGTTAAGACCTTTAAAATTCTCAAGGGTAGTTAGCAACTCTGATTCACTCTGACCAACCTATGCAATGTCATTGTTGAACAAATACAACCCTGTCAAACGTTTTCAGAACACCATGTTGCTTAAATGTTGTTTGGCAAAATCAATTGTTTCAGGTAAAATACTGACACTTGCACCCCATCCTCCAAAACAATGTTGGCTGTAGAGTTAAATATCAGTAGCAAAATTAAACGACACCAAATTTTCTAACATGGCACAAAGCAACATTGTTTGGCAGAAAAGAGGGGTGCACTTTTACTCATTTAAAAAATTTTGGTCTAGTGTACTAAGAGTTTTGGCAGCAATGTAGATGAAAACTTGATGCATACATCAATTACATCTTTAATTGTTGTTATTTGATCTCTGTTCACAAATTTTTTTAACCAAGCCAAAATAAACAGCAATCTTCAAATCTTTTATTAGCCTTCTTTCACCTATGTACGTGCAAGCCTCTCTGGGAATAAAAAGCATGCAGGCTAAAAAAAGACTATTGTTTTTAGTTTAAGTTTTGTTTGATATGAAAAACATGAGCTTTGAGAGGAGTGAATGTCTCATGATATTTTTGAAATTGTAACAGTATGAACATATTTACCTGATTTCCATATTTAAAGATACTTCATTGTCTTTTTTAGGCAAAATTTTTATTTTGTCAAAGCAAAAAATTATACAAACAGATTTTTTATGACCTAACACTATAGAGGTCTATTCCAGCAGCTCCAAGCCACATTGTGTGGTAACACAAAATGTCTGCTTGGGAATGCCTCCAAACAAATTCTTTTTCAAGATGAAAGGACAAGAACAAATTCCAATGATAAACAAAACAGAAAAGTTAACACAAACCTTATCCCCATCTGACTCTTGCATCAAATGCTTTGCTTCAGCACTAATATGATCATACTCTGGTGGAAGTATCCATTGTTTTACCTCATCCTAATTTGAAGAAATAAATCCTTTAGCAAATAAACCAAGCAGGCAAAGAATTGCCCTCCCCTTCCCGATGAAAAATGGCTCATATTTAGCACTGACACAAAACTCATCAAAGATAAAGCTGAAACCTTCACTCTTTTAAACCATTAATCACTAACTTCAGTATTGAAATGGAACAGGTTTCATGCCCAATATAAAAAAAGACATCCATAAAGCAATTGAAATTCCTACTCTATCCATTTTTCCGTCTTTGTTCAAATCTCTGAAGTTTGAAAACTGTTCTCTTTCTGTCTTAATGTAGTCTGGTTCTTCTTTTCCAGCTTCACGGTCACTTTCAGGCCAAAGATCTCCTGAACAGGCAGAAAGATGCAATAATATAACAAAATCAGTTTGCTATACCAAAACAAAAATAAGAAAACTTATGACAATGAAAAAATATATTACAAACATTGAATAATTAAACAATATTAATCTACAAATCATCAAGATCCTAAATCTAAATAGGGACACCTTACTAGATAATGTTGGATTCAAACATTTGGCAAAAGGGGCCTATTCTTAATTCATTACCATCTGCAAGGACTTCATCTGTAAAAAAGCTTCTTTCCATTAACATTTGTCTTTAAATTTTTTCATCCATTTTTTTTGGAAGCTCCATTTTTTGTGTGAAAAGTTTTCTTTGAATATGTTAACAAAAAGGCTATATATATTCGTCTAAAACAGTAAACTGTAGCATCAAAGCCATAGGGCTAATCACAGAGACACACAATTTTTATAAACCAAGCTTACTAACTAAAAAAGTCGAAATATATGCCAGACATTAATTACCTATATATTCTTCTAAAGACACGAATCCATCTTTGTCTTTATCAATATCCTCCATCGTTTCATCAACAACAATATCTCTCATAAGTGGGTCATTTTCAGGATGCAAGAATGATGCAAATTCTTCTTTATTTAATTTTCCATCACTATCTTTGTCAGCCTTTTGAAACCTTTTCTCATCTCTAACAACCATATTTTTATAATCATAATCAGAGTTGTCATTGCTCTCTGCAAAAATAATGGACAGGCTTACTAGACTGTTGAGGAATATATATAAACTAAGCAAGGGTTAACGGAGACCCAAATTTTATTTAATAGATGTGGACTTTTTCAAGTTCAAAATGAATGTTTGAGGAACAAAGAACTTCAATCGGGGTGAACTAGTCAGAGCTAGCCACAACAACAAAAATTAGGCACACTACTTACTTGGAAGTCAAATTAGTCACACAAAGTGCAAGTCTTGCCCATTATAGGACTCTAGACAGTGGAACCTATGTTTTATCAAAATATCTTACTAAAAATAAGAGCTTCTTATAAATTATACTTAAACTTTAGCAAGGTTCTCATTTATACTATTTCTGAATGAATATCCACTGAAAGATGAAGTTAATAAGTGTGAAAATATTTGTCAATCAGATTTCCTTTCTTATATATATATATACTTAATGGCTCCAAATTCTAATCTCATATTGACCCATATGCAATTTTCCCCAAACTGCATGTTGCACCATTCTTGTCTTCTTTGGTGGAATAAAATGATCTTCCTACTTTGTATCTGAGTTTTATTTATATGAGATTAACAATTAATTGGTGTAAACACTTTAGGTCATGAACAGTTCATGTACAAAAGAACCACTTTTTGAATCATTTAACAATGAATATGACAAAACAAGCTCTTTTTACTTTTTTAGGCCATGCTCTTTATACTGCCTGTAAAAGCCTGTTAACAATAACTTATGCCTGAAGAGAGCAACCAGGACACGCTAAGGCATTTTCAAACTCGTAGGATTACTTCACAAAAAATATGCTGCTAAAGTCTTATCATTTCCTTGACTTTTCCCATCAAATTAGAAGAAATACAAACAAACCTGATCCTACAAATAACTAAGAAGGGGGAGGGGGCATTTCCCCTTGTAACGTCACTATTGATTTCAAAATGATGCCAGTACTGCTAAATATTCATCTACCTTGCAAGAATCCGTAAGTGTTGTTTTTGTATTCATCCCAAGTAACAAAACCGTCTTTATCTACATCATTAGTTTCAAGCTGTTTGTTAGCATCATCAAATATATATTTGCTTTGTGCATATTTAATCCAATCCTTGAGTTCTTCTTCTGTGACAAAGCCATCTTGGTTCTTGTCAATTTTGCTTTTTACTAGTTTTCTAAAAGCAAAATAAAAATCATCATAGTGTTGATAAAATGAGTATCTCTTGGGGGAGGTGGGGTTATAATTTATAATAAGAGTGTTGCAGTCGTTCTTTCATGACAAAATACAGGAACCAGAGATAAAAGTCTTGACCTATAAATTGGTCTGTGTAGGAAGGGTCTGGTAAAAAATAGTAGATTTTTGTTGACAAAAACAAAATTTCATATTTCACTTCTTCTTTGGAGAACATCATGATGATTTGATTTAACATAACATTGTCCAGCTGTTCAGGCCATAAATTTCAGGTTCCCAAGATAAGCAACATTTTGAAATGCTAATAGGAACACAATATTTTGAATCGTTATGCTGTGGTACCATTCTTGAACAACTGTCATATTTTCAATAATTAATAATTCTTTGGGACAGGAAAATGACTTGACAAACTCAAATAAAAAAAATGCATGCTCCTTGAAAACTTTCTCTGCCAAATTCAGGTAAATATTGATGTTACAAAATGTTTATCAATTATTGAACGTTTCCTACAATGCTTGCCAAAAAGCACTTGAAACACCCAGCCATTTGCAATGCATTTTGAATCTTTCATTCTTTTGCCGAAGATAATTTAGAGAAATATCATAATTAGGAAACGAAAACAGAAAGTGCTGCATAAAATCCTAACCCGTTTCAAAGTAAACCAACACTGTTCCGTGGGTGAGAGGGGGATGATTGATTTTGACCTTGGAAACTGACGTTAGTGTTCTAAGACTTTTGGCAGGCATTGTACATCATATTTCATCTTTATATTCCTCTTCCTTTCGACTTCTTCGGTTACTGAAGAACATTGACCAATAATTGTGCACCTAGCACTTTTGGCAAAACTTCATTGGCACAAATAAGTGGCCCAGTTGTGGCGCACCACCCTAGACCTTGTCAAAGTAGGTTAACTCAAAAGCAAACAAAAATGCATTTAAATCACAGATGCAGCGACTACTCGTATTCTGCTGCTAAAGTGCTTTACATTAAAACTACCGAACTTTTTCTTATGTTGCTTTCATCTGCCCCACGCAGGTTGCAGGTGTCATTACTACTGATTGAATGCTGTTTTATGTTTGTTAACAAGCCAGACAAACAAATTTCTGAGTCGTCGTAAGGCACTGATAGCGCAAAAATATGTAAAATGATGCACAGAAAACATGTACTGACTATTCAACCGGTGAAAAAAACTTCAGTGGTCTTCATAGTACGAATATGTAAGCTTCGCTGACTTAGGCCCAGCCCGTGTTTGCGCATGTGGGACACACGAGGATGGCCTAGGCATCATACTAATTGTAATGCATTGCATAACAGACTTACTCAAGCCTTTCTTTACTTTGCTCAGGTGTGAGCTCGTCAAATTTGTGAGCTTCTTCTTTGCCAAGGAAGGCTTCGTGGTCATAGTCTTTGTTGTGTTCGTCACCCTCTTGGTGCTCCAAATCTGATAGATCAGGATCTTTAATGACCCTATCTTTGGGCTTTGGAGTAGCAAGTGCAACTCCTCCCAAAATAAGTAGCAATGTCAAGTAAGCTGGCTGCATAATCGTCTTCATCTCTTGAATTATATAAATTTTTTCAGCTGCTAGTGGAATTTCTGCTACCTGTTTTTGATAACACAACCACAACTCTGCTCAATGTGAGAATGTTTTACTTCCATTGACTTTCCACGATGAGAAATGTGGGACTACCTGATTGGTTAGAAGAAATATCACTCTGAGGATTGGCGCGCCTTCATTGGCCATAAGTTAAGTTCTGGAATCTGATTGGGTGTTTGGTTACGTAGCATAATTCGATTGGACAAAATACTTCCCGAACAACCCAGTTTGCATTCCATGACTTGGGACCCTTGTGCCACGTATACTGGCATGACACTATAAAAATTATATTGTTTTTATTTTCTGACACGGGAAGAAAGTTACAATACAACTTTTAGGGCATTGGGCCTTATTCTACAAAAATCGCTCAACTTAGTATTCTGTATACCTCTAACAGGTAGAGGTTATTAAGGGAAGCTACACAAAACCCAAAATTTAAATGATATTTGGAAGGGAGGGACACAAAAAGTACTTTGAGTAAGGGCATAAATAAACTTAAGTCAGAGAGTGATGATGCAACAAAGACCATGGACTTAAAGCACAATGATAAAATGTTACTTATTCAATTCAAGAACTATTTAACCCAAATAAAAACATAGCATAGCATGCAAAGGCATTATCTATCCATAAGATAGTTCCATAAACATAATTTTGTTTTTTAGATTCTGTATGATTGAGTTTCGTTTCTGGAGATTTGCAAAAGCATTACAAAAAAACATGCATAATTTTAGTTTCCACCTATACCTCCGTATCCAGGGCCGCCGGACGCAGGTTTGAACAGTGTAGGCCAAAACGAATAAAAAGGGCACGAATATTTTTTCCCGAAACATTAGTAAGTGCCAAAAATGGTACAGATTTCACAGTAATTTAGTCATTTATAAAAATAATGACACACGTTGGATATAGTGAAATTTATCTTCGCTGAAAGCAGACATGGCTATGGACTCCATTAAGAGACCACGCAATCTTAATCATAATTAATTGTATAGCTTTCCATCTCATGGCCTTCAAAGTTTTATGAGAGTGTAAATCTCTCTTCCGTGTATTATTTATACCTCTATTACAATACGCTGTACATATTTTCCTTATAATTTGCATTGTAAGTGGATTTGGTCTCGGGTAAGAAGCAGGCACAAATCCTTTTTTCATACTTGTGGCCAGGGGCGAAACTACTGGGGGGGTATGGGGGGTGCTGCACCCCCCCAATCTTCAAAAAAGCAGATTTTGTCGGGCAAATTTATGGCTGCTAGTGTATCTGTCGGGCAAATCTGGAAATTTTCTTTAGGTCGCACTTTTATTGCTACTTTTTGCCCTAGGTTGGTTTTTTAATTCATGGTCTTTTCCCCCATCTTTTTTTCAATCTCCTCCCAGTTGGGAAAACAAAACAGAAACGAGGCAAGGAACAGCAACATATATACATTTCTGTCTTTCGTCCGTCCACTGATCAGCGCTTTCGTCTGGAGCTCAACGCGCACATGTTTATCTTCGCCTCGAGATGAAGTCTGAAGTATTGATCGACAGCAAAAGTATAGACAGGAAGTAAAGTGTGTTTGATGCGAGAAGGAAATGAACACTGTGTATACCCCTCCCCCCTACTTTTTGCAAAACAAGTGAGCTTTTTTCAAAATCTTTTGTTGTGATTTCTAAATTTTCTCTTGAAAAGCCCCCCCTCCCCTCAACTTTCCATCCTGCCTCGGAGCCCATAGAACACTGACAGTTTTAGAAGCATCATGAATCAAAGCATGAAGGATATACCATCTCGGAATACGTTGTTGAGAAAATCAATCAATATTTTCTTTTCCAAATGTATGAAACTTTCATTCATGAAATCAAACATGTTTTAGAAATTTAGGTCAGGACATTTGAAGAAGACATCATTTGGGTTTTTAAACATTTCATAACATCAACAGAAACATAATAAAACTATTTACAATAAACATGATCAAACGTGAACACCTTTTCATTACAACGTGGCGTGAACAACTGACTAATGCAACTTCGAGGTCTAGGAACGAGTGAAGGATTAACCGCGTGCTGCTCCTTCACAACAATACATCCATAAGGAGTTATGCCCCAAAATTCTCTTAAGGTTTTACACTTACGGTTCGAAAGTCTTGCACCCTTCGCTAGAAAATGGTCATACAGACGCCAAAGTTTTTTAACTAAAAAAGTTTGAATAACCATAACAAGTAACAGAAAGTTTTAATCAGTTCAAGCGGGAAGTAATATAAAATTTATCAAGAAATTGTAGTTACATTGCAAAAAATCTTTCGAGTTTATTCTATTTCTGAACAATATCCATGATTACGAAAACATGAAAATTGAGCTTTGATGATAGGTATACCTGTGAAATACCTCCAATAAAAAACTTTTCTTTGCTTGAGGGATTTTGTTATGGTGAATTTAGATATACGTACTTTGTGCTTGGGTGTCTAAAAATATTGAAATTGCTTCCGGAGCAACCGAAAATTGAAAATGAAACTCAGAGAATGCAACTGAAGCTCTTTTTTGTTGGAACATTGTAATCTGCGTAGCTGTTTCTAAATTCCGAAATTTCCAAGCTGTTTTTTGGTGTTCCACTTTGATAAAATTGAGACCCTACTTCAATCTCTTTTTTCAATTGCTCTCTTAATAGCTAGGTGATTTAGAAAGTGAAGAAGACTTTTTTTTTATAGAAAAGACAGGCCTTACAAATGCTTGCTTTTCGGAAACAAATGTTTATAGCCAACACCAGAAAAACTAGAGGCATATTTTTTGACTTAAAACAAACAGCATAAGTCTAAAGACCCTCTCTCGGGCTTCCCGATGATTTCAGCCCTTGAGGCGATGTGCTCTAAAAATGAAGTTCATGTAGGACACGCCCTTTCATCAAGCATGCCACGCTCTTTCGTCGGGCAACTAAGCTTCATACCCTTTTAATGAAAATATTGAAGTTTCGCCCCTGCTTGTGGCAGGCGAATTATACTCAACAAATGTTCAGATTGATTGCAACATACCAACATACCAACCCAAAATATGAGCTGAATGGAATTTTTGAATTCTTAGTCTCTATGTACTTCAAAGCGAGTTCCAGTCCCTATCTCTTTCTAAACAAAGTTTCAACCCCATTCGAATAATGATTTTAATTTTCTTACTCATATATTTAAACAATTAAGTACCCCTTGTTATTCGCATCCTCCCATTCCCACTTAAACACAAATTTGTTCGCCTCCATGGAATATTTTTTAAAAGCTACAAATTTTATGGTTAAGTCATCTTCACACAATCGGCTGAAGGTGCGAGCACGTTCTTCACTGCCATAGCGAATTCAATTTGTAACATTGATTAGGTTTATCTTATCAGTCTTATTAACGAAACAAATTTTTAACTCTCCTTAAAATTGATCCCCGGCGGGGCGGCTCAGTCAGTTGGTCAAACGTATAACATTTGAGGTCCGAAAATTTGAAAAAAGCTAGAATTCTGGGACATAGAATCTTGAAAATAGGGTTGCATTCTTAATCAGTCAGAGGAAGCACAAAAAGGGCAGGAATTTACTGATATGATGTTGTAGATAATTTTTTAGGTAAATCAATGGCATATTGAAGTACAACAAATTTTGCAGTGCGTCTAGTCCTGTATATTGTTCTAATCCTAGATAAGAAATTTAAGCCTTTGTTTAAGTCTTTGTTAGCATGTATTCATTGCAGGGACACAACTTTTTCATTTCTTCATAAAAAACATCTAACACAATGTTGTGAAGTAAGCAATATGTCGCAGCTATAGTTTTACAGATGTCTGATTTTGTTAATAAATATGTCAAGAACCATAAGGGGTTGTCGTTAAATCAAATTTAGTGAACTCTGCTCTTTAACTTGACATAAATTTAAGAAAAAGAATGGCTCTAACATGCTCAGTGAAAAGCAGAGTTCACTAAATTTGTTTTTAACAAAAATTCCTGCTCAATAAAATTCCTTGAATATTCTCAGTGAAAAGAGCTACACAATTTTGTCAAAGGCACATAATAGGGTACATTTTACTCAACCCAGATTCCAAAATAGGGGTCCAGTTTTTACTTTCAAGAACACACACGATATATATTTGACCAACTGACTGTGCCCACCGGGGACTTGATAGGACCTTTCACTAATGTTTTTGTTGCTGAAGACATACTAAGGAAATTCTCCTTCGCAGTTGATATTGTTCATCACAGGAGCTTGCTGAACAATATCAACTGCAATTTAAGGAGTTTTCAGTGAATGGTCCTCCAACGACGTCCAGAGTTATGTTATTTTACTTAGTTTCTAAAAGCAAAATATCTGGCAGTGAAAAAATACACGCAATATATTTTTCGAAAAGGGGCACTTGTTTATACTTTTCGCAAACAGGGGGGGGGGGGCTGTGCCCCCATGGCCGACTGGCACCGGCGGCCCTGGATCAGGTGCATTTTGTTTATTTTGATAAAAACTAAAAATAAATCCCTCAACACAGTACCCCCGAGAATGATTTACAAAAATTAATTTTTCTTAAAACAAACCATGGCAGCAATAAATTTCATACTGAAACAATATCGCTTTATACCATATAAAAAGTGTTACACAAAAATCAATGTCAATAGCAATAAACTCACTAGCAAAGTTTATTCAAGTTTGTCGGTAAACGAAGCTCCACCATCCAGGCCGTTTCTGTTGATTCGTTTCCTCCAATTATCCCTCACCGGAATGCAATGTTGATGATAAACTTTAAGCAATTTACACGGGTTCAGCACCTTATAAGCCAGCCTTTCTTTAAAGATCCACAAAAGAACGTTTTCCATACCATATGTATTTCTCAGTCAATTTTTCAGCAATTAGGTCTCCTCTTCCGTAAAATACAAATATACCATGGCTCCCAACGTAAGGATTACCCTCTCCACAATGCTCGGACGCATATGATGCACTGCAGTTTGCAGGATGCCTTGTTAGTGCATACATCAATCTGTTCTCTTTCAAGACACTGGGATTGACTTTTTCCCAGCCTGGTCCTAAGAAATTGTCTTGATGAAGCAAAATTACCATCTTCCCTTTCAAATATTTTGCAGCATAGTCAATGTTATCTTTGATGGACGGTGATGCGAAATTGTTATGAATTACGAGTTTATGAATAAACTTGAAATCAAGCATTTTCAACAGTCCAATGGTCGATTCTCGCCTGACCAAAACGTGAACATTTGATACCAGTTGGTTTTCAAGGTTTTTTTTGAGACACTCAAACACTTCAGCCATCCTTGCCTTAATTTTTTCATCAGTAGGTGGTAAACCTTTGATTAACAAACCTTTTCTTACACCTTCGTGATCAAATGGCACAAATGTTGTCACCAAATGAAACAAGCCATATTCTTCTTGTTCTAATAGGTGTTCTGTTTCTGGATCCACCGCGGAGGACATTTTCGGTCCGAGATTTCGCTTTAGCAGAGATTGATATTTAAACTGCATCTTGTAGAAGACTCCACCAATGGCCTTTGAATTTCCAGGAAAGACTGAGTCATTATCAATGCTATTGTACAGGAAAGCAACTGCTATCAAAGCAATTATGGCAGTTCCAAAAAACTTGAGTTTCAAATTCATTTTAGAAACAAGGTCAAGCGATTTGTCTGCCTGAGTAATGAGTAATGGCAACCGCGTTGTAAACAATAGACGATCGATATTGAAACCATTTTCGTGAAGTTATTAGGCGTCTTTTTGTAGTTAAAATCCAATCAAATCAATTTTCAAACTGTTGGCAACACTTTTAATTTAGAAATTAAAAAAGTTACTTTTACAAAAATAATTTTTTTTAACTTTTTATTGGACAGTCTCCCAGCTTTGAAACCTTCCTTGCTAAAACTTTATCAAAAAGTTTAGTAACAGGTTCTGTTATTCGCGAAATGATAAGTTCAGAAAAACATTTGCAAGATCACATTTAGGTGTTGAAGTACCAAGTTGATCATAAATGATCTTGTATTTGGTGGAAAGTGGCATGTTTTAAGCCATTTTATTAAGCCTACTCTTTTACAGCTATTGAGGCACTTGAGTGAACCTGTTTATCGCGGGAATTGTTCTGGTCATTTTTATCGCGGGCCCCTTCAATGTCCAAAACTTTGTAGCTTGGGTGTTCTGTTTGCGCTGACTGTTCTGTTGGTGACGAAAATAAAAAATAGTCGTCTTGGTGTGAAATTATTAAAGCATCTCTTAACTATAAACGCCTTGTAAAATTTAAAAGTTTTTTTAATCTCCAATTTCATTTCTTTCATTAATTAACTAATTGATTGTAAGTAACTAATTCCATGTGTATTGTAAACACTACTGTAGCGCCTGCTGTCAAAAAATTGATTATGATTATAATATTACTCCCTGCAAATAGGATATTCTTGTTATTTTTGTGAGCTGCCAACTCTTTGCATTCTATTCAGGTGAAGTGGGGCTCGTACTACTCGAACAGGATTTGCTTTTCCGTTAACATTGCTTTAGTCGACGCTAAGTGTCATTTTTATCTAGAATTTTTTCGTGTTTAGCTTTAATAATTTAACCTATCATTTACATTCTTCTTTTATAAGAATAATTTTATAAGAACACGACCTTCTACAAAATGTATTTTTGAACAACGTTTTCTAAAAATCAAGGATTTTAGCGGTATGTGGTTCCTTTTTCGGTGAATATTCAAATTTTTTAGCAAATTAAGGCTGTCTCACTCACTTTGTTGGCAAATGAGGCCTGAACACCACCCTAGAGCTAAAGAGCTAGCACTCGAACTGCATACACTCTATTAGATTAGGAACAAATTAAGAACAATCTAGCATCAGATTTTCGACAAAATTAATTCGATTTCACCATGTAAACAAATACACATCAAGATGGCAAAATGGACAAGTGATAGTACGCGTACAGCTCAAAATCGACCATGATAACCATGAGCGCTGAGTTTAAACAATGGGATCGCATTCTTAGTCCTTATTCCCCCACGAAGCCGGCTACGCAGGCATGCAGTGGCCCCATGATAGAGTACTTAGAATAGCCTCGGAAAAGACAAGAGAGGTACTAACTTCGATTTGAAAAAAATTCGCTCCGCATAGCGATATAAAAATTGCTTGCACTCATATGCGCATTGAATTCGCACTCCTGTGACTATCGCTAGGAAGAGAGGAGCGACAGCAAAAGTTTCTCGCATCAGAAAGGATACTTACTATAACAACAAATTAACAAAATCTTCATAGATTTAGTCATTTTTCAATATTCGTGATTTTTTCTTGTTTCTTTGTTGGATTAACGCCAGTATGAATGCCACTCAATTTTTAATGAATTTAATTTTTAAGAATGGAATTAATGGCGTGGTCGCAGAATTTTTCTCCTCGCTTCGCTCGCGGAGAAGTCTCTTCTGATGTCTTACCTCAGGGATCGTCGTAACTGTTAAAGGCCTGGCCATGTTCACTATCAAAAAGATACTTCTATGATATTCAGTCAAAGCGGGCCTAGGTGCTTGACCAAATCAAGCTGGATGGTATGCTATTAGAGCTGGTGCAGAAAGTAAAAAGCAGTGCGACAGGTAGTCAAGCGCATGAAATTGTTAAAAACGAACTTTCTAAAATTGCCGAAAATTGACACTTTTACAGCACTGCCAGCACTTGTATAGTAGATTTGTATAGTTTTGTTCTGTTTAATATCTTGTTTTTTATCTGTTTGTTTTGTTTGTTTTTCTTAATTTGGAAAATTCCTAAACAAAATCCTCAAAAACATATGTTCCTTAAAAATCTCTTAAAAATATCCAAAATGCCTTAGTCTAAGGAGAAATCCTTGAAAGTGAGAGCCCAGATGAAAACTTTCTTGCCCGAAATCAGGTGGCCTCGCTTCCACACTATTGTGTTGTTCCTCTAGCCAAAGAATAGAGATTACACTTGCTCCCCTACGAAGCCCGCTACGCGGGCTTGCCAGTGGTCCTACTGTAGAGCATGCAGACTAGCCTCGGAAAAGACAAGAGGTGTATTAACCTCGAAAACATTATAATTATTCAGCTCATTGTTTGTACACAGTTTGTATTTCTGGATTCCTTTAAAATTTCGAAGGAGCGATACTGCTGTTTTTGCTGATTAACGGTAAGTTTGTCCAGGCAGAGAAATCGCTTGACCTTGTTTCTAAAATGAATTTGAAACTCAGGTTTTTTGGAACTGCCATAATTGCTTTGATAGCAGTTGCTTTCTTGTACAATAGCATTGATAATGACTCAGTCTTTCGTGGAAATTCCAAGGCCATTGGTGGAGTCTTCTACAAGATGCAGTTTAAATATAAATCGCCGCTAAAACGAAATCTCGGACCCAAAATGTCCTCAGCGGTGGATCCAGAAACAGGACACCTATTAGAAGAAGAAAAATCTGGCTTGTTTCATTTGGTGACAACATTTGTGCCATTTGATCACGAAGATGTTAGAAAAGGTTTGTTAATCAAAGGTTTATCACCTACTGATGAAGAAATTAAGGCAAGGATGGCTGAAGTGTTTGAGTGTCTCAAAAGAAACCTTGAAAACCAACTGGTATCGCATGTTCACGTTTTGGTCAGGCGAGAATCGACCATTAGACGGTTGAAAATGCTAGATTTCAAGTTTATTCATAAACTCGTAATTCATAACAATTTCGCATCACCGTCCATCAAAGATAACATTGACTATGCTGCAAAATATTTGAAAGGAAAGACTGTAATGTTACTTCATCAAGACAATTTATTAGGACCAGGCTTCGAAAAAGTCAATCACACGGTCCTGAGAAAAAAAAAATTGATGTATGCACTAACAAGGCATCCTGCAAACTGCAGTGCATCATATGCGTCCGAGCATTGTGGAGAGGGTTATCGTTACGTTGGAAGTCATGACGTATTTATTTTTCACGTTAGAGGAGAATTCGCTGATGACAAACTGGCTGAACTAAATGTCCCTCCAAATACATTTGGTATGGAAAACGTTCTTTTGTGGATCTTTAAAAAAAGACTGGCTTATAAGGTGCTAAACCCCTGTAAAGTGCTTAAAGTTTATCATCAACATTGCATTCCGGTGAGGGATAATTGGAGGAAACGAATTAACAGAAACGGCCTAAATGGCGGAGCTTCGTTTACCGACAAACTTGAATAAATTTGACATTGCTAGTGACTTTATTGCTATTGAAATTGCTTTTTGTGTAGCATTTTTTTAAATATGGTTCAGTTCTTAAATAAACACAATATCATCTTTGAACATCAATATGGATTTCAAAAAATCAAATCAACTACACTAGCAATTGTGAAACTACAATCACAACTAATCTACAACATTGAAAATAATTTTACATCATGCTGCACATTTCTCGATTTGTCCAAAGTATTTGATACAGTCAACTACAGTATACTATTGAGTAAGTTAGGGCACTATGGAATTAGGAGAGTAGATCACACCTGGTTTAAATTGCGAGAACTCTACAGAATTGAAAATTAATTGTGGTGTCCCTCAAGGAAGCATATTAGACCCCTTCCTCTTCTTGCTTTATATTAATGATATATATAGCTCCTCCGAAGTCCTTGATTTTTGTCTCTTTGCTGGTGACACAAGTATTTTATTTGCTGATAAAAGCCTAGATACAATTGAACAAACAGTCAATTATGAATTGAAAAATGTTTCTGAATGGCTTCTAGCTAATAAGTTATCACTCAATATAGCTAAATCAAATTTTCTCATAGTAAGACCTTATAAAAATAGTAGAATAGAATAATAATAGTAATAAAAAAATATTAAAAATAATAATAATAGAACTGTAAATCTAATAATAAATGACACTAATAAAACTACTCTTAAACCATTGAAAATAAGCCTACGTAAAGCTGTCAGAGTAATAGATTTTGCTTCTTACACAGCTCACACAGAATCAGTCTTTAAACGTTTCAAGTTATTAAACTTAGAAAATCTTTACAAGCTCGAAACAGCGAAATCTATGTTTCAAATCAACCAGGAAAATCATAGTAACTTTCTTCGAAAGGAATTTATCAAAACTAGTAAATTACATTGCTATAATACGAGACAATCGTCCGATCTTGGTTTTTCTCTTCCCTCTATCTCTACAAACTTAAGAAAAAACTTTCTGACAGTTGATGGAGTTGAGCATTGGAATCCTTGGCAATTGAAGTAAAGAATATCCGCAACAAAAATCCCTTCAAAAATTGATGAAACTATACCTTTTACAGAACTCCTAGGCCATAAAAATTCTCTGTACATTTTTTAAATATATCCCTAACCAGTGAAAGTGTAGATCGGCATTCCTTTGTAACTGCTTAAACTAATAATTCCCGTGATTTCTTGTTTATTCTGGAACTTTCCGTTTAAAATGGTATAAAAGCAGCATTTGTAAGATTTGAGTTTTAGTATTAGTTAGTTCGATAGTTAGTCTTCACGCTCTTCGACGATAGAAAATTATTATAGAGACTTATTATTGCTCTCATAATCGGAGAGTCATTTTTCTATGATCAATCTTCGGATCATGGGGGGTCTAAAGAAATGGGGGGGGGGTTAAAACCGTATAAAAAGAGGCTTTTCTGGTAATTTGTTACTTAATATTTGGCATTTTTTGTAAAAAGGGGGGCCAAAGCCCCCAAGCCCCTCCTCTTCCGCGGTGATTGTTAATTGACTAAATTTTTGAAATTTCAAACTTTTGTATTCCAACTTTGTATTCTTGGTATATTGTAATTAACAACTGTTTTTGCTGATAGAGATTTTAAGTTTGAGTTTGAGTTTGATCTCGAAGCAATCAAAGAGGGCAAGTTTCTTCTTTGCAATGCTGGTCTACAGTGTATGGTTTCCATCTGTCGAATTAAACAGAAAAAAGCGTTTGAAAATACCGAGAAAAAGTGCACATGAAGCAAATTTACTAATAATATCTACACTCAGTGAGCAAAAGTATTGCACAGGCTGAGTCAGAAAATGAGAAAGACAGTTCTCGTAGAAAAGGACAACATAATAAATGACGACAAGAAGATTTGTGAAATTTTAATTCTTATTTTGTCAACATAACCGACACAATACCTATCACAGCACCGCCAGAGTCTGACGTTGAAATCACTTCGTCAACTGATCATGTGCTGTATTTGATTCAGAAATACAGGAACCCCCCTAGTATTATCAGAATTAAGGAAAATGTTGTTTTTAGAGACGAATTTGATTTTGTTGCACCTTTTGATGTTTGGAATGAACTATCGTAGGGCCAGTGGCAAGCCCGCGTAGCGGGCTTCGTAGGGGAGCTAGTTTTGACACTATAATGCGTTTTCGTGTCAATCCAATAGCAATTACAGCAGATATTGAGAAGGCATTTCTCCAAATTGAAATACAAGAAGCAGATCGTGACGTATTGCGTTTTCTTTGGTACAAAGATGTGAATAGTCCAAATCCTTCCATTGTACAATTCCATTTCAGGCGTCTTGTATTTGGTTTAAGGTGTAGTCCAGCTTTGTTAGGATAAACAATAAGGCACCACATAGAACAATATAGAGAAGAAAGCCCTGAAATCGTTAATATACTTAGTAGATTGTACGCTGATAACCTTTCTTGCAGTGCTAAGAATAGAGAGATCATGTTGAAAGGTGGCTTTAATCTTCGTAAATGGCATACTAATAATAAGGTTTTGCAAAGCAAAATATCGAAACAGGAAAACAAAATTCAGGTAAATGAGTCTCACGGTAACGAAATTGTAGAGGACGATCAAACATTTTCTCAATATTGAATAGGCTCTACGCTAAGTAACGAGAATTCTAAAGTTTTAGGGGTAAACTGGAATAATGACTCGATACCCTTGGCTATCAACTTGAAAATGTGATTGAATTCGCACGCGCGCTACCTCCTACGAAACGTTCCGTTTTAAAGTTAGCGGCCAAAATATTCGACCCGCTAGGTTTTCTAAGCATTTTCACCATCAATTTGAAAACCTTCTTTCAAAAACTGTGTCTAGAGAAATTATCGTGGGACGAAGAGTTGAAGAGTTCGCAAAGAAAATGTACGACTCTTGTATAGCAGAATTAGGCCTTTTGCAAGGTATACAAATAACAAGATGTCTTTTTCAGCCAAAGGAAAAGGTAAGAAAGATACAAATACACGGTTTTTCCGTTGCAAGTTAGGAAGCATATGCTGCTGTTGTATATTTGAGGCTAGAGTACGAATCTGATGAAACTGAAATCAAGTTTCTTGCTTGGAAATCAAAAGTATGCCCCATTAAATCACAGAGTATACCTTGATTAGAATTACAAGGGCTATTATTGTTGATATTAGTAAATTCAGTGAGGACAATACTGCAAGATGAATTACAAGAAACGTCTTTTGAAACCTTTTATTGGGTAGACTCATTTTCCCTCTTATGCTAGCCTGCGTGCAGACTATCTTATGCTGCATTCGAAATGTTAAGACTTGGAATCAGTATGTACGTAACAGGGCCATAAACAAAATGAAGGCCACGTTATAATGGCCTTTATTCGAGGGGGCGTTTAATCGAAGCATTACGGTAGATGAAATCGACTACTATACAGTTAAAGTTAAAGCGAAGAATGAACAAAAATCAATCATACTATTAGGTGACTATGATATGAAAGTAGAATATATAAAAGGGAATCACAACACAAAAAGCTCAAATTGGAAAAATCTCTTTAAAATAATAAATAACGGAAAGCTTAAGAGTCACTTAATGAAAACTATAGTTACAAAGGTCTATGGACACGTATTAAAATAACAGACCCAGAAAACTAAGAAAGAAACAAAATTCTGGATTATGTAATTGTAAATAAAATTGCTTACCAAGAATAAAAACATGCTAATATAGATGAGGAAGGAAACTATGTTTTAGAGAGGATTACTAAGAGGAGTATTAAGGAATCTGACCATAATGCTATTATTATAGATCAGAAGCGGACTGGCCCACCGGGACACCTGGAAATTTCCCGGTGCGCCCTCTGTCCCAAGTTATTTTTTCAAAAACTTGAAAACTTTCCAAAGGCAAATAATCATAGCACAGAACTAAAATTGATTACAATCATCAATTGACCTCCTATCCAAAGTACGTTTGCATAAAAAGTTTAGCTTCACCTTTAAGTTGAGCAATATTAAGGTCAATTGCAAAGTTTCCCAATCTTTGCTATTGTTAATTAACAAAAAAAAGACAAAACGTTGGTCAGCAAATTCTGCAAGATTTTCTGAAAATCTTGTAAAAAACATATTTTGTTATGAAAATGACTTGAACCATTTTAAACATACAGCTTTGTTGTCTGAAACTCCTCAGAGTATAAAATGTCAAAAAATGGTCCAAAAGAACAAGATGGAAAATTCGATCCACAAATGGGTATTTATTCTCCATCTTGTTTAGCAGGGTCGGATTTAGCGGGGCGGGGGAGGGGTTTAGGGGGTGCAACACCCCCCAATAGTTCTGTGTCCTTCGGTAAATTTTGTTTCATTCGGTAAAAATCATTTATTGGTAGTCAATAGTAACAAGTAACAAACTAACGCCAAGATTTTACTTTATTTATTTTATCAGTATTTATCTTCTTATCAGTAGCGTAGCGGTGGGGGGGGGTATTCTCAAAGGTATTTTAAAAGGGCGTCGTCGCAAAATTTTTCTGCTCGCTTCGCTCATAGGAGACCCTTCTCCATCTCTCAACAGAATGTTTAACACTTTCCCCTCGTTTTGGGATTTGTATAGAAAAGTCTCTACGTTCTCGAGACATTCCTGATGAAATAGAAACTAAAATGCTAAAGCAGTCCAATCCTAAGAAAAATTGGATTCTGAAATGCTTGTCGTGGATTGAACTGACTTTATTCAAAACTTTTGAATACTGTCAATTTTTTTAGATATTTGATTACAACTTTGGAAAATCACTTTTTACACGTAGAGATTCCTCGCCTTACACAATTCAGGATATAAACGTTAATGGAATTGTTAAGGAAATAGACAGGTGTAGAGCATGGTCAGCCACCTTAATCCTACTTTCACTAAAAACCTGATTAGCTTGTATCTTTTTAAAGCAAGTACGCCATACATTAATTCGATATCTGTTGAGGGGGTAGTAAGGGATTTCATTAGCTAACTAGCAGACTGCTTGCCAACTGACTGATGAGTAATAATTTTGTGAAACCAATGACTTATGACTAACCATATTATTTTTTTTGACTTATGACTAATGCAAATTATTCCTAGTGCCTGATATCCAATAACCGAGGGCTCACACTTTGGAAAAAGTAACTGAGCACTACCCTGTGCCCATTCCAATCACAATGGTTGTAACTGGATAAAATTATCGATGTGTTGGGTATGGGAAGAATATTGGACATGGAAACGTTCATATATTACGTAATCAAAGATGGGGAGGAGAGGGGGACTTACACAAATGTTATGGCTATTACGTTCATTATGGCACTTTGTTGAAGTTTGTTAAAATAGTTGTTTAGGGACAAGGGGATTTTTCAAATATGTGCACATTCCTTGTGTTTTCTCTCTTGAATAATAGTCCTTTTTCTTTGGGCCATCAACTACCCCTTGATAGTGAAAACTGCTCTAGGTATGATAGAGAATAATACTTTCTGAACTTGACTTCCGTAGCAATCTATTTTATTTCTATTCTATTTTCTTTAACTAACAACTCATAGTCATCTTGCTTTTTGTACGTTAAAACCAGGAGTTTAGTACCAAAAAGAAATTATGACTAGCTGAAAAAAA